GAGGTGCTTCTCTCAAAACGTTCTGCGTCACTTCTTAAAAGTGTAATGCATTTCAGCGTGACCAGATCTGGAGGAAACAAACGGAATTTCACAACCTCTCCAAGGTTGCTAAATCACTGTGTCCTTTGTGCTGCTTTCGTGTTGCCAAAGATTCCATACGCCTTCCCTGTTCCTGTGGTAAAAAATTACCACAAATTTAGTGGCTTAAAGCAACACAAGCTTGGTCTCTTACGGTCCTGGAGGTCCGAAATCTAAAATGGATCTGTGGGCTGTGGGCTTCTGGAGGCTCTGGAGTTGGCTTTCTGCCGAGGAATGCAGGCGCCTCTAGAAGCTAGAGAAGGAAACAGATTCCCCCCCCGCCCCAAGCCTCCATCTTCAGGGCCGCCAGTGTAGCCTCTTCTGGCTTCAGATCTCCCTGTGCTTCCCTCTAATAAGGACCCTTTTGATGACATAGGGCCCATGCAGATAATCCAGGATCATCTCCTCATCTCAAGATCCTTAACTAAATCACACCTGCAAAGTTCCTCTTGCCATTTAAGGCAGCCTATTCACAGATTCTGGGGATTTAGATCACAGACTTCCTGGGAGAGGTCAACATAGCAGTCATTCTCACTTTAGTATGAATAACCACTATCACGTAGTATTGTGCTTCCTTCCGAGCTAAGGGAAGTCCCTCTAAAGGAAGGGGGTTTGGGTGTGGTCAGCTCTGGAGAGGAAGGGGAGAGGGACATGCAGGAGGCCCCAAGAACTGGTCCCAAGCAGCCTCTCACTAGGGTTTAGCGGGTCTGGGCTTTGAGGGTATCAGGGACCGCCCTCCAGGGCCTGCTTTCTGGTGGCCTTGGGGCTCCATCTGACTGTCTGAGCCAGGTGGAGTGTGAAGTTCCAGGGCCTTCCTGACAGGAGGAGCGGACCCGAACCTTCCTCGGACCCTGGCCCTTCCCACTTCCACCAGTTTCTACCTTTCTTCCCTTTTCAACCCCAGTCGCCGTTGCCAAGGCCATCTTTCACTTCAACAGACACTAAATCCGTGGTTTGCCTCGTTCCTCAGCTGCTGTTTGACCAGGAAGTCATCAGCCTTAACACCTTTTCATTTCCCTGCCTTGCAGTCCCGAGGCCAGGGTGGGGGAGGGCCGTGACTCCTGGGCTGCAGGTGCCCTTCCAGGAAATGCTGGTCCCTGGCCCCTGGGCTCTCCGCCCCTCGTCAGGGCAAGCCCTGGGTGCTCAGCCAGCTCCAGAGGGTCCGATTGCGTCTCCTTTTCACATCTCCATGCCCCCCTCCCAGGAAGAAGCCTGGGGCGGGCCGCACCCCACACCTGCCCTCCTGCACCTGAGCACACCTTCCGCTGGGACACCTGGAGGAAGGAGAGGCTGCCAGGTGACCCGGCTCAGCCAAGTCCAGTCTCCTGCCTGGTGCTTTGGGTTCAGTAGTTTTCCAAAGTACCTGCTGTTTCCCAGTGCAGCCCAGGAAGTGGCAGGAAGGTGGCCGGCCCCCCATGGAGGGGACCATGGTCCACCTGCTCCCTACTCAGTGCAAGGAAAGAAATCCCAGTCTCTACAGTGGGACCGGTGCCGCTGGCCCCTGGCATCCCACAGACGCTCCCAGGTTATCCCTTGCTCAGCACCTGCGCCCTGAGATGGGCCAGCATCCTCCCCACAGCAGATAAATGGAAACTCCAAGACTCCCTGAGTTCTCCCAGCCGTGAACTGGCTGGTAAGGACGCCAGGAGGTGAGCAGAGCTGCCTTCCTGTGAATGGCCCGGGGACAGAGGTCACCGGAAAACCCCAAGGCGGGAGATGGGAAGGTACCAGGAACTGTTCCGGAGCCTGGTCACAGTGCCTTCAGGAAGTGGCTGGGCTTTTCCCAGAGCAGCAGGGCTCAGAGCCACCTGCATTCCACGTGTGTGACCTGCTCAGTGGGGTGGGTCAGGGTGAGGGAGAGGGAACAAAGCCTGAAGCACTGGTGATGGTGATGATGGCCTGGCCGAGAAAGTGGAAGAAGGAAGGTCCACTGGGGGGGCAGACAGAGAGCCCTGTTGGGTCAGGGGAGCCATGAGCTGAGTGGAGAGGCAGAGCCTGGGAGACAGAGGGCAGAGGAGGACCCAGTCGTGAGGGTATACGGGCAGAGGGACAGTCGGAGGGAGCAGAGAGGACTCAGAAAGGCCGTCCTCTAGATCTGCACTGTCCAGGACAGTAGCCACCAGCCACATGTGCCTGTTTATGTGTAAGTTAATTAAAATAAAATGTGAAAGTCGGGTCCTGTGTCCAACATCTGGGTGTGCCTGTGAGGTGTAGAGCATGTCCATCACCGAGGAGAGTCCTGCTGGGCTGGGGAGGGCAGTGCAGGCCACGCTGAGAAGCAGAGTCGGTGACCCGGAGCCCCTGGGTGGGGCGAGAATGGCCGATCCTCCGGCAGCACAGGCGAGAGCTGTGCTGCCAGCCCCGGGCATGGCCCCGGGGACTCTGAGGGCCCACAGCTTCATACACTTTTGTAGGGCTCTCTTTGAGGGACTCTGCCCCAGGAGCTGGTGGTGAGTTCTGATGTATTTTACAACGAAAATAATTCTTAATTCCACGACAGACTGAAAAAATAAAAGGCCGGGGATGTATCGGGTGGGGTTTGCAGGCTGTGCAATTGGGAGACGCTGCCTTGCGGGGAGGGCTGTTCTGGGGTCTGCAGGGAAGAAATCTGACTTAAATCTGCACCAGCTCTTTTCCAGTTTAAACGTCAAAGTCCGTAGAACCAGTGTTGTGTAGACAGTGCTAGGCTCAGCCCGGGATTCTCAGTTAAGTCAGCCACCACCTTCAGTCTCAGAAATGCCCAGTCCCCCAGCCGCTGCAGACCAGGGCGTGGGTGGCTTCCAGTGAGGGAGGCGCACATATTTAATTCGACCCACAGTGTTTTTTAAAAAAGGAAATTTACTTGCCAGCATTTAAAAGTCAGGAGATCCCACCAGGAAGCCTGAACTTGGTTTCCTTATGTCTCAGGAGCCCTGGCCAGCGTGGCCTTCCCTTCTCCCAGGTGCCGAGCAGTCCCCGCCCTGGTGCCAGCCCCCTGCAGGGTCTGTGACTGGGAAATGCACGCCAGCCACCTCCAGCTCCGCCGGGTGACTAGGTGGCCTGTGCCTTGGTCACCAGCAGCCGTCTGCAGGGTATCCCTAAGTGGCTCACAGAGGGACCGGTGCAAGGCCAGGGTGGTCCCCAGTCAGAGTCCTGCCCAGGCCAGAGTTACACCAGCTGGAATCGTGAGCACTGGTCTGTTCCCAGAGTCACAGGCTGGTTCTGGAAAGGCTGATTCAGGTGACATTTGGGGAAGCACGGGGAAAGGGGCGAGTCCCGTCAGGAGCTCTGAGAGCACAGGGGGCGAGGGAACCTCCAGTGGATGTGCAGCCCACTGGACTGAGGCCTGGGTCTGGTCCTCCCTGCATGGCCTCAGTTTCCTGAGGGTGGCTCTCCAGTACTCAATACCTGTGCGTGTGCCTGTGTGCTTAGCAGTGATGTCGGCTGGCGGTTGGGTCCAGATGCTCGGGGTCAGGCGGTCTCTGGCCAACTCGAGCTGCATTTTGGGGAGTGAGGACTCAGGGAAGCCAGGCTGGGAGAGTTACCTGGGGAAATGTGGTGAGTCTCCTGTCGCTGGCGCATTCACGCCTGTACTGGACAGCCTCCGCCTTGAGTGGGCGGTGTGGGCCAGACCATGGGAGGCCCTTGACTCTCACCCGACCTGTTTCCCAGCTCAGAGAAGATCGCTGGCATTTGGTAAATTCTTATTAGGCTGAAGGTTGGGTTTCCTCCCTGGGTGCCGCCAGGTGGCCTCCTGGGGAAATTGTCCCCAGCGGTGGAGGCAGGGCACGGAACGGACCTGGATCTCATGCAGGGAGTGTGTTTGCTCCCACATGACTTTGGACAGTGGGCAAACGCCCCAAAATGTGAGGTCAAAGCCTGGCCCTCACCGTGTTTGCCCCCAGCCGCCTGCTAAGCACTGATGTCTGCAGGGTGACGTCCACCCTTCAGCAGAGTCCTGCACGTGGCCTCCTGCACACCCCCGGGGAGCCCTCTGTGCAGGCAGCGGCCGGGCAGCGACAGCAGGCTGGGGTCAGTTTGTACAACCTGACCCGGGCCCCGGCTCACACCCGGGGAAGTCGCTTGCTCAGGACGGGTCCTCTGCTGCCTGGCCATCCTCACCAGCAGCCTCTCACGAGAATCTGCATATGGTGGGCGGTGGTGGGGGGTGTTGCTCATCATTTAATAACCAGCCCCTGTGGTTATTAAAGCCTGATGGGCAGAGTCTGCCGATTTCCGCAGTGCAGACACTTCCAGGCTGCAGGCTCCCAGCACGAGGTCGCAGAGGTGGGCTGGGAACAGGTGTCCCAGCACGGGTTTCCACCTGCAGACAAGAGGAGCAGCCTCAGCTCAGGAAATAGCTGGGACATCGTGAGATCTAAGTGGTTGTTTTATTTATTTATTTTTTTGCGGTAAGCGGGCCTCTCACTGCTGCGGCCTCTCCCGTTGCGGAGCACAGGCTCCGGACGCGCAGGCTCAGCGGCCATGGTTCACGGGCCCAGCTGCTCCGCGGCACGTGGGATCTTCCCAGACCGGGGCACGAACCTGCGTCCCCTGCATCGGCAGGCGGACTCTCAACCACTGCGCCACCAGGGAAGCCCTAAGTGGTTATTCTTAAATGCAACTTATTTAGCTGTAGGTTTATATCATTTTATTTATTTATTTATTTATTTTGGCCGTGCCACACACCTTGTGGGATCTTACTTCCCCAGCCAGAGATTGAACCCGCACCCTCGGCAGTGAAAGCTTGGAGTCCTAACCATTGGACCACCGGGGAATTCCCTATATAATTTAATTTTTAACAATGACTACATTTAACGACTTGTTCCCAGAATCCTTGGGAATTCGACAGTCAGCTCCCCGGAGTTGGTACGAGCCACACGCCCCCTTCCACTGGGACGACTTCTCTTTGATAAACTTCTGTTTTGTTCCATTTTCTCCAGGCAAATGAGGGAGCAGGAGACGCCCCCTGACTTCTTCTATTTCTCCGATTACGAGAGGCACAATGCAGAGATCGCTGCCTTCCACCTGGACAGGTGAGCCCTCCCGCCGGCACCCTCGTGGCATTGTCACCCCACGGCCGTGCCCTGCTGTGTGCCTGGCTGACAGGAGTTGCCCAGGTGACCCAGGGTAGAGAGCCGGCCGTCGGGAATAAAGGGGAGAAAAGAGGACACTCACAGGGCATCAGCCTCTCTGGCAAGACCAAAGGTCATGAGTCTCGCAAAACTGGGCCCCTTCCCTCCGTGACCACCTGTTTCAGGGCAGCTCTGCCAGCAGAATGCAAATTCTTTGTGGCCTCACAGGCCCCTCTCTGCTGGGGAGGAGGGTGGGCAGCCGACGTGAGGGGTCTGGGCCTAACGGAGGAGAGTGAGGTGTCCACTCAGCTCCGGTGGGAGCGGCTGGAGGGTACGGAGGTGAGGACTCCTTTCCCTGTCCTTCTGCCAGGATCCTGGACTTCCGCCGGGTCCCTCCCGTGGCTGGTAGGATGGTCAACATGACCAAGGAGATCCGGGACGTCACGCGGGACAAGAAGCTGTGGAGAACCTTCTTCATTTCCCCAGGTAACCTCATTCCCCAGGTAACCTGCCCCTGCACCGCGTGCCACACACCCTAAGTCTAAAAGTCTTGATCGTTCCTGACTCCGCCCCCCGGGCTGCCATAGATGTTGTTTCTACCAAAGGCAAAAGGAAATTCGTCACCTCTTCGGGGTTCTCCTCCAGGTGGTCCGGCCAGAGGGGAACTCCGTCCTTTGGACTCCCCCAGATTTAAAACACCCCAGCAAGACCCTCCCGTAGTGGCAGGGGCCATGCTGCGCCCCCCTCCTCCACCAAGTGCCGGCGGGGAGCAGCGACTTCACCTGGTCCCCTGGAGGGTTGACCCTGGTTCCCCTTGCACTCGGGTACCCTGCACGCTCCATGTACCAGGAGGTGCTGACATTTATGAAAACCTTCAAGACTTCATATTATAAACCTTAAGTGCACACATAAACGTAAGTCACGCTCTGCTGAGTTACCTGCCCCAGCCTGTTTCAGTTGTGGTACTTGGGCCTCCACGATCCGCCCATCCCTTTCCCAAGCACTTCCTTTGCGCCAGGCCCTGCGCTGAGCTGTTCCAGGCGCCCACGCTCACTAGGCTTGAGCCATGGAGAACTCTCTTGTATTTCATCTTGGAACATTTTGAGTTGTCCCAGTGATGCTGGCAAAGCAGAGTGGAGTGACCCAGCTGGGACACCGAGATCCACAGAGAGTGGACCTCGCCCCCAGCTCCCCTGCAGGAATGCCTCCGCCATGCCTGGCACCCACCCCAGTTAGTTCATGCCAACAGAAGCCACATAAGCCCTGGATTGTCTGTGTCTGAAGACCTGCTGGCGAATAAAAGCCCAGCCTAGAAACTCCTTTCTTGCAGACTGACGTTCAGATTGACATACTCGGCACGCTTCTCAGCTGCATTCACAAATTCATCAGAACTGAGGCCACACGTCCTTAATTTCATGAAGCTCCATGTTTGTCATCCGTTGCTCACCGAGAGCCTCGTCTGGCTCCTCCTCTCAGAGCCCGTAAAGAGAGGAAAGTAGGGCAGAAACCCACCCACCCGCCCGAGGCAGGAGGCTTCTCATTCCCTTTTGTGTCAGTGTCTCACCCATGTGACCAGAAACCAAAGGGCAAAGTGAGAGCCTGTGCGTCGGGAGGGGTCTTTGGGGGCTTTCCGGGGTCGCCTTGCCTGTGCCCGAGCCGCGTGGGTGGGTGGGACAGGCCCGTCCGGGGGCGTGTGCCCCTGCCTCTGTCGTGGCACAGGTGGGAAGGTTCAGGTGGCGCAGCCACAGCGGCAGGCGCCCCAGCCTCGCCGAGCGCCCGCGTGGGATCCCTCGCTCGGGCCCTGGGTGGCCCATCGTTTCCACATCCCCATTTTTCAATGGTTTAACTGACGTTTGGAGTCTGAACTATCCCCACGGTCAAGATGGTGACCGTGTCCGTCCCCCAGAGTCCCCTCCCGCCCCTGCGTCCCCCCAGACGGCCTGGGGCCACCTTCCATCTGTGCCTTGGGTTGCTTCTGACAGTGGAGGCTGGGCGGCCTTGGGCCTGTTCTTTGTCTTTCCCTCGACGTGGTTATTTTGAGAGTCACCCACACTGTTGCCTGTCCCCGCATTTTCTCTTTCATTTCTGAGCTCTGCCCCGACAGTTGAGGGCCCTGAGCGGAAGGGATGATGTAACCTGCCACAAGGAAAGGGAGGGATTGAAGTTTGAAATCTTGAGAAAGGGACACAAATCAAGGGGTTTCTGCGCTGGATTCCACTTCCTCTGGGGCAGAGGGGCCTCCGAGTTGATGCCCGCTCCGTGTTCTCCTGGGGAAAGGCAGCCTTAGCCTGGGCTTTGAGTGGGGAGTCCTTTCTACAACCAGAAGGTGGAGTCAGCTGTTAGCCTAAGCAGATGAGCTGAGATGCTGGCGTCCCACCCTGTCCTCCACACGAATCATGACTGTCGGTCTCCCTGGTTGTCCCCAAGTACACAGCCTCATGCCGACACCCGTCCTCACCCTGAGCAGAGCCGTCACTCTGACTGGTCGGTTCCGACAGCTGGACCCACTCGGGTTCCCAGCTGCCAGCTGCTCTCCCAGGCCCCGCGGGTTTCTCCGAGAATCCTGCTTGGCGCCCGAGCTCCCCACCTGGGTCGCACTCCTGAACGCTGTCCTCGGAGCAGCTGGCCGCAGGCTCAGCTTGGTCTGCCGCTCCTGACACCCACCTCTCTGACCAGACTGTCTGTGTCCCCACCGCCCTGCTCTGCCAGCCAGACCTCTTCCTGAAAGCCCTGGGGGAGGTTTGCTTTTCTCTTAAGCAGCCAGCTTTGACCTCGTCTTGGAAAACGAAATCTGTCGGGATTCATTTGGACCACTCTGGCTCTGCTTGCACTTCTGCACCCATCGGAGGCCAAACTCACCATAGATGCCGAGCTTCCCTGTAGACTTTAATCCACGCCAGCTCCCTTCCGCCTCCAGGGGCCTGAGTGGGGGCAGGGAGCCCGCGGGGTGAGAGGTGGAGGCGGCCCTCCTGCCGGCAGGCCCGGGGCAGCAGTGTGCGGCCGGAGGTGCAGGGCTACGTTGGACTGTGGGACAGCCGAGTGCCTGCCACCGTGGGGCTGCGCGGAGGCCAGCGGCTGGAGCCCACGTCTTCTACAGAACACGTTCCTCGTGCTTTCCTGGCAGATTCCTATGGACGTGCCTCATATCCTGAGATCAGCCCGCGTCCTCCTGCGCAAATTCTGTGGGCTTCTACAGGGACCCCGTGTGAACCCCCCAGGAGCCTCTCCTGCCCCCTCCCAGCCACTCAGCCCCACTTTTAAATCGGCTCTTTTCCTGCCATGCCAGCTGCGGTCTGGCTGGGTGGTCACTGGGCCTCTGTCCACACACTGTGGTCAGTGCCCACTCAGAGTCCCACTGAGGGCCAGAGGGGTTCCCAGAACTGCACCCGGGCATCCTCAGCGCCCCCCCGCAGAAGCCCTGCCCCACGTGACATCTTGGCAGCCTCCAGCCGGCAAACCCCTGAAACATTCAGAGAACGGCGCACCTGGACCGTCCGGGACCCTCAGGCTGGCAGGTGTTGGTCCTCTGATCGACACTGATCCTCGCAGAGACGAGGCTCCCTGCACAGGCAGTGCATCTCATCCGAGTCCTCTGGGGCTGGAGCAGGCAGGCCCTCCTGGCTATCTGGCCCCGGCCACCCCCAGCTGTCTGGAGTGTCATTGTAAGATGAGCCAGGACTGCCTCCTCCAGCGCCCTCCTCTCCACACGCAGGGCACTGCCATGACCGGCCCCTCACTCCTCCCTCGGGTCACAAGTTTAACACTCAGCCTCAAAACTGCTGCAGCCCCCGTTCAGGGGAGACCGAGGCACAGAGAGGTGAAGGGCCTCCCCCGAGGCTGCACAGCTGAGAAGCTACAGGCTACGGGCTATCGGAGCCCCACGCTGGACGTCCCTTTAGAGACTGGATTTGGGTCTCTGATGAAGAAGAGGCCGTGGGCCCAAGGGACTGCCTGTCTTTTCACATGAGTCCATCTAAAGCCAGTCTAGGCTGTTAGAGGGACCGATTCCAGGGCTCAGAAAAGTATTTTCCTCCTGACAGTGGGCTGAGATTGAACTGTGTCTCCACAGACGAGATCTCAGGCTGATCTTTCTTTGATCGCCTGACAGTCATGACTCAGCAGCAGCTGCGAGATCCTGAGGGGGGGGAAGCAGGGGGTGTGAGGGAGCTGTCTCCCATCCCCGTGTCCCGACCTGCCTGGGACTCTGCGTGTTCAGAGGAGCCGCCGAGCCTGCGCTTCCATTCCAGGGGCTGTGACTGCTGTCTGTAGCCAGAGAAGGTCACAAGTGTCACTCGGGCAGGCTGTGCAGCAGAAGGGGGGACCCCTGGCCCTGGAGGGAAGGGGGCCGGCAGTGGTGCCTGGGGCCCTGGCCCTGTATTTCTGCACACCCCAGGCTCGGGGTTTGTTTCCCCAGCAAAGGAAGGAAGTGGTTGACCCTGAGGACATGGTTCGGTTGGTAACTGCACGGACAGACCCACCGCGCCCAGCACTGAGGAGTGGCTGCAGCCTGCTCCCCGCCCAATGCTTCTCAAATCACTCTTCTCTGTGGGGGTATAATCCACACGTCGTCAAGCCAACATTTGAAGTGTGCCGCTCAGTGGTTTTTAGTACATTCTCAGTGCTGTGCAAGTCACTACTATCTGATTCCAGGACATTTGCTCACCCCGCAGAAACCCCGTCCCTATTCAAAGTCACCCCCGCTCTGCCCGACAGCTGCCATTGTCTCCCCGTGGGTTTGCCTGTTCCCGGCGTTTCACGTGAGCGGTGTCTGGCTTCATCCACTGGGCGTAATGCTCACGGTTCATCCACGTGGTAGCAGGTGTTACACTTCATTCCTTCTGTGGTTTAATACTGTTCCACTTCATGAATGAACCGCACTGTGTTTATCCGCCCATCCCTTGACGAGCACGTGGGTTGGTTCCGCTCTGACTGCCGGAGTGGCCTGCTGTGAACGTCTGTGTGCAAGTGTGTGTGTGGATGTGTCTTCATTCCTCTCGGGCGTGTGCCTGGGAGTGGGATGGCCGGGTCATGCGGTAGTTCTGGGTCCAACTTTCTGACTGTTTTTCGCAGCAGCTGCACCATTTGACATTCCCACCAGCACTGTGTTAGGGACCCAACTTCTCCACACCCTCAACACACTAGTTATTATCTGTTCTTTTGATCAAAACTATCCTCCTGGTTGAGAAACTGTGGACTTGGTTTGCATTTCCCTGGTGACTAACGCTGTCGAGCATCTTTCCGTGTCCTTGTTGGCCATTTCTATATTTTCTTTGGAGAAATATCCTTCGAACTCCTTTGCCCATTTATTGATGGGGCTGTTCATCTTCTCATTACTGAGACGTAAGAACTCTTCTGTGTGCAAATACTGGATGCTTACTAGCTTACGGTTTGCAGGCCTCTCCCCGCCGGCTGAGTCTCACTTTTTTTTCTTGGTATGAGGGCCTTTTTCAAGCCACTGGACAGAATCCCCACAGACTCCAGACTTAGTTTCGAGGGTAACAAGGAAGAGCTCGGGTTCAGGTCCGAGCTCTGAGTCCCGAGCTGTGTGGCCCCAGGGTCTGTGATGCGGGGTTGGAGCAAGCGGCTGAGGTCAGGCGTGAGAGTGTGGGTGAGCCCTGCCCAGGGGAGGGACGAGTCGGATGTGGCGCAGACACGCTGGCCCAGGGTGGGGCGGATGTCCGGGAGGGGCCGGCATGGGGACGCTGCCCGAGTGGCCCCACTGCCTGCGTGTCCCCCACCCACAGCCAACAACATCTGCTTCTACGGGGAGTGCTCTTACTACTGCTCCACGGAGCACGCCCTGTGCGGGCGGCCAGACCAGATCGAGGGCTCGCTGGCCGCCTTTCTGCCTGACCTGGCCCTGGCCAAGAGGAAGACCTGGCGGAACCCCTGGCGACGCTCATACCACAAGCGCAAGAAGGCAGAGTGAGTTGGGCGCACGTTGGGCGGGGACTCCAGGATCCTGACTCCCCGGGGTCTCCAGAGGGCTGGCTTCTGCCCGACCTGCAGCAGGGAACAAGCTCGGTGTGAGGAATGGCAGGGCCAAGTGTGTGGGAGCAGATGATCAGAAAGGGCCCCTCACTTGGGAACTGGGTGCTCACTGGCCTCTGGGATCTGTCCGTGTTAAGACGAGGCTTCAGACCTCTGCTCTTCTTGCAAGAGAGACACGGTCCCTACAGCCACGGAGACGTCCTTGCAAGTGTGCTGTCCAGGCCCCCCCAATACGTGGCATCCGCGTGCTATAGCTCCATCACCTCCCAGCCCCATGCTCCTGTTAATGCAGCCTTAGCCCGCCGCTGGTCGGTATCATCTGCCCACACTCTGTTCTGCGGTGACACCTTTTCTCACCCGGTGCCTGTTGCTGCCCCGTGAAGCCAGTGTACTGAGCTGGGCAGCCCCAGAGGTTGGTTGGGTCCTCCTGTCTACAGGGGAGCCCGCCCTTCTCATGCCGGCTCCCCTGCAGGTGGGAAGTAGACCCTGACTACTGCGAGGAGGTGAAGCAGACGCCCCCCTACGACAGCAGCCACCGCATCCTGGACGTCATGGACATGACCATCTTCGACTTCCTCATGGGTATGTCCGGGGCCACCGGCCTGCCCTGGGAACGCCTGACACAGATCCAGCCACCGTGGTCCTGCTTGTACTCGGTTCTGCCAGCTTGGAGGCCAGACGGGGGAGGGAGGGGACGCCTCTGAGCTGCACACAGGCTCCCAGCAGGCTTGTCCCTACAGGAAACATGGACCGCCATCACTACGAGACCTTCGAGAAGTTTGGGAACAAAACGTTTATCATCCACTTGGACAATGGGAGAGGGTGAGTCCTTCCAGACGCAGCGAAGGGCTGGCCGTGTCCCCACCCAGACCTGGGGGAGCAGGCGCTCTGTGGGGAGGGACGGCCCAGCCCCCAAAGGCCCCCCTATGTGACACAGGGTTCTGGCCAGGACTCCTGTGAGCCTGTGAGCTGGGGAGACTGAGGCCTGCAGTGGGTGTGTGTGCAGGGGACAGACCACTCCAGCGGTCAGAGCTGCAAGTTCTCAGACGCCTCAGGGAATCAGCTCTGGGCACCTGGGCAGTTACGTCTGTGGGTCACGCGTTCCCAGCTGTAGAAGACGCCCCTGCAGCTAGACTCCCGGCTGACCCGCCCTCGAGCCTTCTCCGCTCATTCTGCCCGGACTCACCCCTTCGAACCTCTGCTCAGTCCAGTGGCCAGAAGGTCAGGCCGCTTTCAGGCACCTGCCTCGTCCCAGGCCCTGCACCCGGGGCTGGACAGCAGGGGCCAGGCCCCCGCAACACCAGGCAGGGCCCACGCGGGCACCGCCTGCTCTGATGCTCCCGTCCCAGTGCCTGGGCTCTGCGCACGGTGTCCCCCTGCGAGTGGCCTCTCCACAGCTCTGTTCTTCTTCCCGCAGGTTTGGAAAATACTCCCACGACGAGCTTTCCATCCTGGTGCCTTTACAGCAGTGCTGCAGGTGCGGCTCTGCCCCTCCCCGAGGGCCCCACCCCTGGGCTGGCCCTGTCACTGCACAGGAGGCCGGATGCTGCCGCAGCCGCGGCCGCAGATCAGGCCGAGCCTTCCTGTCCCCACCCCGGCAGTTCCCAGAGCTCCTCCCGGGACCCAGCTCCGTGTCACCGTAATAGCCCACCTTGCAGCGGAAGACACCGAAGCCCCGGGCTCCCACTCTGCCACCTTTCTCGGGGCTCCCAGCCCGGCCCCTCCTTTAGCAGATGGGGAAACAGGCTGTGGGGCTAAACACCTGCTCGGCCCCGGGGCAGCTCTGTGTCGCCTGGCCCAGACAACGAGCAGGCCAAGCCGGGGCTGCCTCCCTCCCCGCTACTGTCTGCCGGGAGTAACGGGGCCCGTTGGACACCGCTGGGCCCACCCGGGCCCCTCCTGGAGGCAGGACCCTCACCACGTGCTTCTGAGAGGCCGGGGCTGGAGTGGGCCAGGGGCTGGGCCGGCACCGCGCTCGGGGCGGCTGCAGCGACGGCCAGGCTCTTCCTCCCGGTGCCGGCCTGACGTCATTCTCCCCGCAGGATCAGGAGGTCCACGTACCTGCGGCTGCAGCTCCTGGCTAAGGAGGAGTACAAGCTGAGTCTGCTGATGGCCGAGTCCCTGCGTAGGGACCGCGTGGCCCCCGTCCTGTACCGGCCGCACCTGGAGGCTCTGGACCGGCGGCTGCGCGTCGTGCTGCAGGCGGTCAGGGACTGCGTGGAGAAGAACGGGCTGCCCGGTGTCGTGGAGGACGACCTCAGCCCCGAGCACAGAGCCTCTGCTGGGAGGTAGTGACCGCAAGCCGTGGCCAGGCCAGCTGCCGGGGCACACGGGCCAACGCAGGAGCGGACGGGCTGCCCGGGGACGCGTGTCCTCACTTTCCAGACCAGGGCGGGCCGGCGGGAGCGCACTCCGCCCCCGTGGACAGAGGCGGCCTGGCGGCGGCCCACCACCCTTTTGTATGGAAAGGAAGCCTTTACTTACTATTTTGTATTTATACCTGGTGTAAATGTACATAAATAGAGACATCTATGCAGACCCCGACCACCCAGCAAGTCACACGGAGGGCCACCCGGCAGGGCCAAGTGCCCCTGCGAAGGGCTCCCCCTCTGGACCGAACGTACAGTAAAAACTCTCCTCCCTGCCTGGGGCTGAGGTGTCTGGGGCTGCAGGAGGCTCCTGAGGCTGTCATGGACTCCCGTCGACAGATGAACACCGTGTAGCTTTCGGGCGACGTGAAGGACCAATCGTTACCTGGCTGCCCAGGCTGCCTCGGGGCACCTTCTGACTTGCTTCGGAAGCCTGTGCACGTGTGTGACTCAGTCATGTGGCCGGGCAGCTGGTTACTTTCACGGCATCTTCGTGGAAGAGTTTGCAATGTGGTAAAGGTGCAATAAAGATTCAGCAAGTGTGTGCTGGGGCCTCGCTGGGGTCTGGGTCCCTCACTCCGTGGTGCTTAGCTGCTTGCCCACCCGCCCTCCAAAAGAGTGAGTCCCAGAACCAGGCGTGGCCCGGCGTCCGGGCTGGAAGGAGGGGCTTGACGCAAGGTCTGAGGTGGGCCTTGGTGTGGCCTGTCCCGCTGTTGCTGCAGCTGCTCCCGGGGAGCTGAGTGGAGATCCCTGAAGGTGCGCCCCAGAGTCTCTACAGGCCTGGCATCACGTGGGCACCGTGTTTACCCAGCAGGAGCCAGGACAGTGGTGGCTGGACTGGCCACGGGGACGGCGAGGGAGGGGCTGAGCCAGGGGTGGCCTGGGAGAGCCAGCCCCCCAACGCCCTGCTGGAGGGAGGGGACACTGGTCTCCTGGCCCGGAGGCTGGGGCTTGTGGGCGGGGCCCAACCCTGGAGGACTCACGTGAGGACTCGCGTGAACCCCGGTTCATGAAGCAGAGAAATCACAGCCCCTGTGCCTTTTGCTGGGGGTTCCCTCAGCTGTCACCCCACAGATCTCCCTGTGCGCACAGGAGGGGAGACCACGTGCGGATGCAGGGAGGACATGGCCGTCTGCAAGCCGGGAGAGAGGCCTCACCAGATACAACCCCAGAACAGAGAGAAGAGTCTGTGTTTCAGCTGCGCCGTCTGTGGCGTCCTGGTGCGGCACCCAGGGCACGATCAGAAACACACATGTGGTCTTTGCCCCGCGTTGCTGACACAGAGCTTCTCAGTCCCTCAGAATTCCCTGAGCTAAAGACAAAAGAAGAAGGATGTGGGGGAAGCCAGTTATGGGGGTGACGAAGAAGAGCAGAAAGCGGGGTGTGGTGGTTACGTGGATTTCAATCTGGGCTTCTCCCCAGTAAGAGTCTCTCCTGATCCAGAGCCACCCCCATTCAGGTACAGAGAGAGAGACACGTACAGGGGGAGATTTCCTTAACAGTGCGAACGTCCCTCCCAAAAGGGCAATTTCTGCTCTATTTTTTCTCAAAATAATCGTTACGCCAAAGAGGCACACGTTAGGTGACATCGGCTTCCCCTCAAAGGCCAAGCAGTGTCACAAAGGAGGTTCCGAGCTCTGCAGAGCTGCCCAAGAGGCCCAGAGCTGGACAGCAGTTAAAGCCATGGAGACAGGTTCGTTCAGCACCGTTGCAATGGGGACAAAAAAAGGCCTCAGTACAGAACTGGCCGAATTCCCAATGCAGCCTGGAAGGTAGGGATTGACAGCCAAGGAGCAGGTGAGGTGGGGGATGGGAAATCACTGCATCGGGGTTCTGGCTAAACCAGGGTTCTCGGTGATGGCGGGCCAGGGGTCTCTCGTCCAACTGAGCTAACAGGATTCTTGCTAAAGTTGGGTGATGCAAAGCCAGACACGGGAGTCGAGGCCTCGCTGGGAGGGGCTTCGGAGGAGCCTGACTGACACCTCTCGGGTAGCACAGGGTCTCGTCCCCCTAGCACACAGCAAGCAGTGCTCTCAGAGGCTCCAGAGCTGGGGCAGCGGCTGAGACACCAGTGGGAAGCCGGGAGGTGAGCCTGGGAGAGACAGACAGACATGAAGCAAACAGACTGTGCACGCACACCTCGAGGCCCCAAGGACGCTGCCGCGGGGTGTGGGACCAGGAATGAGTCCAGAAAAGGGAAAACGGGAGGCGGGGTGGGACCCCTGGCGTGATGATGAAAGTTGCCAAACGGCGCGGAGTACAGAGTCCCCAGGAAAACGGAAGCCAAGAGGAGCCGGTCCTTCTGTGGGGAAGGCCGTGGCCTCGTCAGGGTGAGGACAGGCCTAGAGCGGCAGCTGTGAGACAGGCCACCTCCGGGAGACAGTCACACAAGGAAGGAAGCGCAGTCCAGCACAGTCTGGCTCGGCCGGGATGAGGTTCACAGACATGGCCGTCAGCAGTCAGCATGTTTCCCCAAAGGAAAATGTGATGCAGCTGAATTGGGAGGGGCTGGTCCTCTCTCAGGTAGGAAGTTGGCAGGGATTTTGTAAAACTGAAAAAGCCTGTCGTTTAGAAACACGGAGGTGATGCGCAAACAAGACAAGAGACAGCACAGCCAGGGAGACTTACAGAAGTGATTTCTCTGGGTCTTTGCTTCGGGAGCAGGGGTGAGGTGGGCAGGGGTCTGCTCTTGTCCATGATCTGACCTGTTGTTTGACTTTTAAAACTGTGTTTATCTATTACTTTGATACAAATTCAAACAGCAGGTAAAGGGGCTGGATGGGAGGAGAGATGGGGGCAGGGCCTGAGCTGTGAGCCCCACGAGACCGCATGCCACCAGCCCAGGGCCCTCCTGCCTTGTCCCGTGTGCTACTCACGACAGCTGTGCCGTAAAATCCGAATTCCATTGTGCCCGTTTTCACCATCTAAACCGAGGCCCAGACAGGTAAAGGGACTTTCCTGAATGAACGCAGGAGCGTGTGGTGTTCGGGACCCAGATCTGCAGAGGGAGGGGCTCAGGGGGCGAGGATGGTGGAGGAAGCCTGGAACAGGACGAAAGAACAGGTTTTCGGTTAAATTCCTCCAGGTGAAAGGCTACTTCCCCACAAGAGTTAGGCAGCCTGCTTGGTCCACGGTAGGACAGCACCTGCCACAGGGCTGAGGAGAAAGGGTTAAGAATTCAAACATGATTAAAAAGACAAACTGGGGGGAAATCAAAACAAAAATCCTCCTTCAGTCGGCCTGGGGCCTGGTTGTGGAGAATCAAGAGGCAGGAGGCAACCCCTCTGAGGGCAGAGACCACTTCCTGAATTCAAACAAGTAAATGAACAAATAAATCACTATATAGATGGGGGCGCGTGCACGACTCCTGCCCTGTGGGCCCGAGGGACGGAGTGTGTCAGTGGGGCTCTGGGGATTCAGGTGGTGGGCTCACCCTCACTCCGGGCCCCACCCACAAGCCTGAGACGGATGAAGGGCAGGGAGGCCCGAGGAGGGGGCTGGCAGAGGGCCCTGGCCCTCCCCGCCGCCTCCCCACCTGGGAGCAAATCAAATGTGCACATTCCTGGGGCCAGTCCCCCAGACGCCATGCCCAGAGGTGCAGGCTCCCTAGGAGGCCGGACGCAGCGGCCCCCAGGCCACCCTCCGAGGTCCTGCTCAGCCCTCACAGGAAACTCTCCCTCAAGTCAATGTCCTCCCCACCCAGAGGGACCATGACAAAAGCAGGTGAGCAGAGACGCCTCAGGAGCCTTGGCCTGGGGGACCGGAGGGGGCTTGAAGGAACCTCACCTTCATCAGGAGAGCAGAGTTCCAAAGCCCCTGTGGGAGGGGTCCCCACCCGCACAGAGGGGTCTTTCTTACTCTTCTCGGAGCTGGCTTTCGGGAACCGGGGTGTGGGCTGGCCGGGGCCTGGGAACAGTGTCCATCCCGTCCCCAAGGGGAGGGGCAGCTCCTGGCCTCTCGGCTTTGATGGGATAAGCGGGGAGAGGACACCGGCTGGGGGGGCCTCGGGGCCGGCTGCAGTGCAGCGTCTGTGGGGTGCACACCAGGCCCAGGGCAGCCCCGCTAGGCTGCTGTGGCGGCTCCAGGCAGCCAGCCCTGCCCAAGGCCTGTGCTCGGTCCCGTCCCTGCTGTAGGTCGCAGCACCCCAGCTACACTCAGCTGCATGTATTCCTGTGGTCACTGCCATCCTGGGGGCCCCTGGGAGGCCTGCGCTGGGGACACAGCCCATGTCTGGTCCCCTTGCACCATCTAGAGGAGAACCTGAGAAAAGCAAGACCAGCCTCCCCAGGGCAGAGATGACCAGAGTCTGGCCTCAGAAGCCCCCTAGGTCCTCAGGATCGGAGTCCAACACCTCAGAAGCAGAGGGGGTACGAAGACCCTCAGCTGCCTGGCAGATGGGTCCCTCAGCCAGCGAGAGCAGCAGCAAGGCCTGCCAGTGGCTACCCGGGCCCCAACCAGGCCAGCCTGTCCTTTCAGGGTCCAGGGGCTCAGGGTGGCCCCACCAGCCCCCCAGGCCAGGCTCGGAGCCCAGGTGAGGGGACTGTCGACCTTGGTCCCCTGTTTTCCAGGACCTAGCACAGTGCCTGGGCCCCAAAATACCTATAGAGTCAGTGGGTCGTTCTTCAGTGAGTGCTGAATACAAGTTCTGTACACTGATACATACTTCCAACACCAGAGAAGAAGAAGAATATGGAATTCATGTGGAGGGTTGAAGTGCTCTGGCCTTCCGGAAGCTTCTAGAAGCACCATCTCCATGGTGTCCCTGGGTCTTGGCGCAGCCTTCCACCCTGGAGCTGTCTGCCCCCCCGCTCCACCCTTATTTCATTCATTCTTATTCCAAGTGCTGCAGAAACATCTCATCCTGGAAGGTTTCCTAGCCTTTAGCCTGGGTGACTGAAGTGCATTCTCCCATGGACGCCCCCCCCCCATGTCAGATCATGTGTTTCTGAGGTCATCTGGCCAGTGTCCACTTCTCACTAGACTGGGAGCCACGTGAGGACAAAAAGGAGCACAGCTCCAGCACGTACGGGCCGGCAGCTCTGCCTGGTTCGGCCCCCTCCGCCCTGGCCTGCTCCCCTGACACGGAAACGGTCAGCTTCCACAGAGGCACAGCCCTCCCGGCCCTGCATCCAGGCTGGCCCGGTCCATCGTTCCAGCCTTTCTGAACCTCTGCAGACCCCACGCAGTCCCGCCGTTGGGGTCGAGGGTTCCCAATTCCCCGTGTGTGGTAGCAGCCCCCAGGCAGGCCCCCAAGGGTCCACACCTCCTGCTATTCACGTCGGGTGAGCCCCCGCCGCCTGGTGCCCAAATTCTCTTTGAGGCCAATAGGATACGTGAGTGGTAGCCGGTCACGGCCAAACCTGGTCTACAGGACACCCTGGGCTCCTGCCCCTCTCTCTGGACCTATTATGAAGGGGGAGAGCTGCCACGTGTGAGGATTTTTATTTTTTCACCTTTCTCTACTTTATAAACTTTCTGTAACAAACACAGCTTTTAACTACAAAACACAAAAGCGTGTGAGTTGGGAGGGAGGGAGACGCAAGAGGCAAGAGACATGGGGACATATGTATATGTCT